ATTACTGTAATGAGCAATAAAGAACAAAACCTTCGGTCCCCCTAGCGTATCTTCTTGACTAGCTGAATTCTTAATAGCGGACAACGTACTTGGCAATTGCAGCATCAAAATTGAACCATCTTCATCTAGAAACCTGTTTTGATCATTTCCATGAAAATGTATGAGTAGAATTTAGGTCAAGAAGAAATCTATTGCTATTTAAATTTCATCTAATGTATTTTACTTATCCTGAACAATTTATAACAATTTAATTATATCAGCATGAAAATATGGCAAATAACGATAAGAAAAAAGGTCATAAGTAATTAAGAATAGTTAAAAATTCTGATCAGAATTTGTAAATAAAGTCTGTGATTATTTGAAAAGTTAGAAGCTCATTAGTTAGAAATTAGAAGTTCCGATCAACATTAATAACTAGTTAAAAATTCCAGTCGAAATTTGTAGTCAATTAAAATCTTCGAACAAAATTTGTAATTAATCAAAAATTCCGGCAAAAGATTAATACTGATTGAAAGTTCATAATTAATTTTAAGAAATTTATAAATAATTAAAAGAACTTATAATTAATTAAAAATCAAAATTCACAATCACAAATTACAATTCTTATTTACCAATTCAGATTATTTGTCTTATGGTTAATATGGTTTGCAACATCACTATGTGGTTATGCAGTTGATTTAAATTCATCACGGATAAGTGGTAATCTATTCCTTAATCAAGCATTATTTTCCATCCTTATTGCTATCTCTAAGGTTTGTTTTCCGTTTCAAACTTTCCTTTTTACCTTCTACAATTAAAATATATTATTCGTCGAAAGTATATCATAAATGTTGAAAATTATTAAAAGAAAGTTAATTCATTAATAACGAAAAATAAACAAAGTAGCAAATAAAATTTAATCGAAGGTAAAAAAAAGAAATTAAATAAAACTTTTACTTTCATATTTTCAATTCAACCCAATAATTTATAGGTCCATTTTGAGATGTGAAAATTTTGAATGGAAAAAAAAAGGACAGAATTAAATTTGAAATAATTATTATAAAATAATAATAATAAATAGCATATTTCCTAATAAATAGCAAAATGAATAGCATAACTTCCTTTATTGTTTATAGATAATGTTGGTCATTTTCGATACATTTAATAAAAATTTTAATCGTCGTAAATTACATCAATATGCTCAATTTAATGTCTGTATATGCTTTCTAACATTAACCATCCTTGTTTATTTCCATTATCAGGTTAGCAAGCAGCCTATTTATTCTTTTTCCTAAAGATTACTTTTACAAAAATATTATTCATCTCTTTCATTTTCCATTTAAAGGCTGAAGATTTTCAAAAAACAAATTTCGTGCTAGAATATTTCCATTAATCAGCTAAAATGACAAAATGATTGAAAAAACTCAACTCAATCTTTCACTTAAGGGTATTGCTATACTTGTAATTAATCTAATTGGTACAGTATTTATCGAGTATACATGGGATGCATGTTATTTATGTGCGATCGAATCGATGCCAACATCCATGCGTGCTTCTTCTCTTGGTTCATGCTCTTTTATTGCTAGAATCGGTGCTTTATTTTCACCGACGGTATATTTTCCTAGCAGAATTTTGAAAATTTAGGAAAAAAAAGAACTCACAAGAAAATAGGGAAATACCTGTTATATACTACTTCAAACTTTTTTCATATTTTATATAAATTTTAATTTTCGATTTAAAAAAGGGAGAAATTGGATACATCACATACTTAGAAGTGATCCAATTTTTCTTCAAATTTCGATTCCAATAAAAATAATATATTCATTTTTAGATCTTCTTTTTGTCAAATATATGGCCACCATCACCTTATCTTATCGTTGTAATAGTTGGCCTAATTAGCTTAACTTCATCATGCCTATTTTTGGTAGAAACAAAAGACGTTCACCTTGACAAAGTGGATGAAGAAAGTGTCTGCATTGAGGAGGAGCAAATACCAATGGTATCAGGGGAACAGTAAAATTGGACTATTAAACAATTTATGTGAAAATGGAATTCTTTCTGAAATTGATGAATATTCATTCATTCACTTTCGAGAATAAATTACAAATATCTTAAAGATACATTGTGATCAAATGCGTAAACGTTTCAATAAATTTTAAACAACAAAGGTAACATTAAACAGTCCATGACGCATATTTTCATTCATTAAAACAAAAAACCAGAATTTAATGGAAGCTGTTAATAAGAAAGAAAATTCAATATAAGATTGAATATAGACATTTTCATCCTTCTCTTTTTTTTATTAACTAAAAAACAATTTTTTTCATTCCAAATTCGCATAGCATATCCTCAAAATTTTTAATTATATCTTTCTCAGATTATCGCTATGGTTTGAAAAGATTTTAATAATATAAACATGTGGATCGTTAATTTCAAGCGAGAATATATGGTTCACGACACGAGAAAATCAAAAAGTATCATTGGAGAGCATATAGCATCAGTAAACCACGAAGATTATTGCATAAATAATGAATAATAAACAATCGTAAAAAGAATCTCGTACAGCAGAATGCTAACGTTATCCCATGTAATATCATTTGAAAAAGAAAGGGTGTCGAATGAACTATGATAGTCGAAACTTAAAACAACCAGAAAGTGAAATTAAAAATAAATAATTCTTACAAAAACCATGACTTCCAATAAGCAAGGAAATTAGATATTGCTGTTTGAGCAGGCATGTGGAGTACTGCAAACTGAAAGCAGGAATAATATTGACAATATATTCGACTGCCAACAATATGAATACTTAAAAAAAATAGGCTTTTTGTTCATGCATTTAACCTCTTATTTGTAAATAAGAAATTTAATACTTGAGCAAATATTTAACAGTTGAAGCAATGAAATCAATCAACAAGTAGGCCAAAAAAAGATACCTGAGATATGTTTAACTTCAAGGTTAGCTTCTTAAAGATTACCCATCATTAGAAATAAAATATTGAGATAATCATGAATATGAACAAAAATGATTGTTAAATTTGAAAAAAACCTGGGAAGACATTATATGGATGAATGAAATAAATAATGAAAATTTCAAAAGCGGAAAAGAGCTGCAAATAAGTATTACAATACAAAATTCATGAAAGACCTATACAATGAGGTAAGCCTCAATTAAAAGATTTCTGAAGAAATAACAATGAAAAGTAGATTAACAAAAAATTGGAGTACGCACATGAACAATAAGCGGTGAGTGAGAAATGCGTACGAGTTGATTTGATTCAATCAAATTTCCATGAATCTATGATCTCCCACTATTTTCCTTTTTATTTATTAGCTAGCAAGAAACTATTTTCGAGTTTCTCTCCTTAGTTAACTTTTTTAGTACTTGTGAACTCCCCAATCCCCTTAAGTTAAATAAATTATCTGCAAATCCACTAATTAAATCAAAACAATATGAGACTTACTATCATATCCATTTTGACTCTTTTATGTCTCAAAGTTTTGTTTGCTTCATTTATTGCTGTTTTCATAAAATGAATGGTGCTCAAAGAAAATATAGAAAGTATAAATTGTAAAAAGGATTTATTTATGGAAGTTCTGTTTCGTTCGCTGTTAATATTCGTTCGTCTAAATATGCTATATGAAGATATTCTGCAAAGTAGAAGCAGGTGAGGCTTAGGTATATAAATCCTTCTTACGAACAACAAGTTAAGAAGATATCTTTCTCATTTCCCATCCCACCTTGCCTTTTGGATTAGATACACATACAGGAAAAAAACTTACGCAGATCAGGAGGGAAATGGACAAACAAGATTTTAGATTTAAAAAGATATTCAGTTCGGTTAAGTAACTATATCACGTTCAATAAAGATTGGAGCTACTGGTCAAAACAAAGGTTCTTTTATTACCAGTAACTAACAAAGAAACAGATATACAAATAAGGGCTCCATCTTAAGATAACTTACCTTCTTCACCTTTCGAAAAGTGAGCTTTCATTTTTTAAAATCAGTCCTATGTAATCATAAAATTAACATTGGTAATAAGAGCATCTATGAATAAAATATATGAGTATAGTAGAATATATTGTATTTGTCAACTATTCGTATGAATATGGAAATAGAACCATTATGAAACCAATACGTTCAACTACCACTTAAGTTGAAGAAAAGAAGAAATATTAGTAGGAGTACTTTGCTATAACAATTCAAACAGAATATCTAAAAGCAATAAATTAAACTGAAAAAGGAAACAACGATTAATGCTTGAATTACAAAGAAATATACAACGAAATATGCTCGAAATAATCATATTTACATATGATCCATTAGCGTGCTGAATGTAAATTGATTTAATTTCTTATCTCTTCACTAGCCCATTCGACAGAAACAAAGAAGAAAGAAAATGTTCTCACATGAGGGAATGTAAAGGCACTCAGCTGAGGAATCATTCATAAAAAATTATGATACAGTTAGAATGCGTTATGAATAACACACTTACTATATCGAACATAATTAAAATCGTATTTTGCGCGTATGGGCTTTTTCAAATTCCAGAAAACCTTCCTCCATTTGAGCATCGATATCCTGTAGACATAACATTGCGTGAGTTTTAACAACCAGATCCTCATCTTGATCCAAGATATAACTCAGTGAATCTGCTATATCATAAAGATGTGACGGAGCTTCCTGTAAAATTGAAAACCTTCACTTTCGCTCAGCTCTGATATATACAAATCCAATATTTGCCTTATAAATTGAAATCAAATATTTATATTTTTCAATTTCCTATGAGTTATCTACTTCAGCTGTAAAAAATTTATCAATGTAAACGATCATAGATATCCAAAATGAAATCTTTGAAATTTATATAAAAAATAAGGCAATATAAACAAAATTATTGAGAGTGCCAAAAACTCAAAAGAATGTTAATGATAGAACTTGTGACTCTTGGATTCAAAAAATATTTACTTGCAGAAGACTAATATCGTATGTTCTGACAATGGCACGCATTAGGTCAACTGCCGCTCGCCGTACTATTTCCGCTTCCGCATCACGTATATATAATTTAGCAGCTAATAACATCTAAAAGAACTTTTGAACCAATGAAAAGCGTCAGAAACAAATTTTAACAGATTAAATGCACTTTTTATGTCAGCACACAAGCAGTTGAATATAACTAATAAAAATGTCATAATTAAATTCATATACTGAATTACAACGTGTTGATTTGCTTCTTATAAAATCCAACCCTGTCTTAGATAACAACTGTCAAACATGTCATACTATAACATCAGAAAAAATTAAGAAGACAAAATGTCATGAACAATCGCTGAAGATAAAGAACAGTAAAAAACTTCGGCTAAACATATGATCGGGTTTCAATAGTACAGAAATTACCGTAGTGATAACTAAAATCTTCGTAGTTTCTGTGAAACTACAGAGCTTGTACCTTAATGTAAAATTAACTATCAACAAATGGAAATTTCATGATTCGTATACCTCATCGAGATGCTTGTGTATATTTAATCCACGGCACGAAACGATAAGATTGGATAATGAAGAGAGTACTGAAGCTCGCAGCAGATCATCTTTAGTATGGAGCATCAATGACAACATTGGATTTACCATGCGGTCAAAATATGCCGGCGCCATTTCACCTGGAATAGTCTGTTGGTTTACATATTTTATTCATCAAAACTGCATTTTTATAGAAAGAAAGTGTATGTTGCTGTATTATGATGTCTATACGTTATAGTTTCTTTTGTTTTAAACCAGTATATCCTATGTCATTGTTGTATTTTGGATTCGTGTTTGCATAATACATGTTGTGTGCATTTCTCCTTATATGTTGTATTCTACATACTGCAATTAATTTATGTTAACAATAAATAATTAGTAATGTGATTAATAATATGTTAATAATGTTTTTAAGACTATGCGATGATATAATTAAAAAAGATTACTCCAAGATAAATTAAACTGCTTGACAAAAAGTATTAAAGTCCATAAAACGATAAGGCATACCAAGATTTTTATTTGCCTTCGCAATTGCTTCGCCAATTTTCACTCTCTGTATTAGTAAATATGTTTCCTTTTCTTCTTCCCGTAAGTTGTCCACTGAAAATATTTCAGCTACGAATAATGAAATATTTGCTGTAAATGACAAAAAAAATTTCGAAAGGAAATAGAGGGGTACTGGGCAGTAATTGAAAAGAATCGTTACCAAGAAATACAAAACAATCTTTTTTTACAACTAAATCAAGCACATCAAATGATGGAATTTTAAATTAGAAGACTACATAATTGTGATTTATATGGTAAAGAACTTTAAAAAAGAAAATGAAATTACTGTTGAATTCGAGAATGGACTTCAGTTTTTTGGCCGGGTCTAAAAAGAATTCCACCATCTCATCGAAAAATTGTTGCTTCCAATATGCTAACTCCGCTAATGCATTTATTGCTGCCAAATAAACGTAAGAATCATTATCAGCAACTTGTTCTGAAATGTCCCAGTTAATTTTCAACCTTTTGAAACTTGTTCATCCTTTTCACAAAAATCAGAAGAACACTTAATTTCGCTATTCTACGGTACATAAAAATGTGAAAACTTAGCAAATATATAGTAAAACAAAAAATTAAAATCTCTAATCGATTGTAAAGAATTATGACTGCGAAAGGAATCATCACCAACCATGATTATAAAAAAAATTATACAAAAAATCGTAACAGAATAAGGTTAGATGTGAATTATTAAATTACTGAATTATAATTAAGATTATAATTATGCAGAAAAAATACTACTGCAAGTTATAATTATGTTGTAAGTCACAGAATAAAAAAACCACAGAAACTGCGTAATTAGGCAACTGACCCAGTACAGCACGCATAATTGCGGGACAAGCAGTAATGTCATCCAGAAGTTGTCTGTTTTTTTGGCGAATACCTTTTGCTAATTTAATTAAAGCATGCCCCCGAATAGGTTCTGATTCATCCAAAAGATCAGACTGAATTTGTTCCAAAGAGAAAGTTTCTGAACTACAACCATTTATCGGATTATCATTGACATTTGATGATTCATCGATAAAACTAAAAATTTGATACTATATGATTATAATTTCATTAAAACAGTTACCAGTAATTATTAATTTTTACCAATCCATAACTCCAAGATGCACAAATTGCATTCGAAAGCAAAAGCTAATTTAAGTGACCTAAATCTGGTAAAGGCGGAGAAGTTGAACACAAAAAATTTAGATAAAATAGGCATTAACATCAAAAAGAAAGAATGACAACTTACTTAGGTGCTGTGTCATCTTCTCTTGATTCAATATTATTTGCCTTTAATAATGCAATAATTTCCCCAGCAAGCTGCTGGAAATCCAAATACAACTTTTTATCCATATCATCTAATTTTGAAACTGTGTTCGAAAAAGCTTGCAAAATACTTGCTCCACGTACCAAGTTTTCTTTGAACTACAACTCGAAAAATTAGTACAACTGATCAAGCTAATAAACAAATCAGAATCACGGATTTAAGCAATAAATGATCACATGATTAAAACAGTACAATCAAATGCCTTACATCTCCTTCTTTCTTCTTACCGCACATTTTTAACGGCTGTTTTGATCAACAACGTGCAAATTTGAAGAGAAACATGTCATGAGCAACAAATTAATTTCTAGACATTATGATATTAAATATCAACAGTAGCTTTGGTTAGGAGACAATCGCAATACAACCCATTTATATCTTTCATTTCAAGATTTTCTTGGACGAAGAGGAATAACGTCAAAATCTTTTGAACTACACTTACTAATGTTGTACTTTAATGTTAATTTCGAATTATAATCCAAAAAAATTTTGGAGTACTCGAAAATGTCTGCATTACAATGGATAATAATGTAGCAGTAAACGTATTCTTTTTTTTCGAATTTCGGGAATCAAGAAAAACCACTGGTTGCAATGTTTTGAAAAGAGTCTTTAAAAAAAATGTAAAACAAATTTACTTTGACGAATTCTCCTTGCTTGAAAACTAGAATACATTGAAGAATTGTCAGTGCTAAATGGATATTATTTCGATCAGCAGCCTCAAGTTCTTTATCTTCTTCCGACAGCATACCTCTAATATCCACTGCAATAGTATTCACGCGCACATTCAATTTTGCCGTGGCGATATCCAATATACTCTATAGAAAAGTTAGCCACTGCATAAAAAATATCAAATATCGAACATTTGAAAACTTTCACCAAAATTTGTTTTCATTATTCTATAACTCTAAATTGCTTCTCAAAACATGCAAATAATACGCGTAAGGACAAATCAGTAATAAGTGAAATAAAAATTCGAAAATGATATTACTAAAGAAAATTTCTGTCAATCACTGCATTTCAAATGAACAGTTGATGGAATAAGTTATCAGAGCTTTCTCATAAAGTATGAAAGTGAACTAACCAATGGGATGTCAATAAGATTTGCCAAGTTATCATCTGAGAGTGTGCTTGTTTCCGATAAAATAGGCAATAAATCGTTCAAAAAATAATTCACTTTCTGTTTCCCTAAGAATCAAAAATGAGTTTTGGTGCAATGAAATAGAAAAGACTCGTAAAATAAAAGCCATTTGTCGGATTTCTAGAATCTTCAGCCTACTCTTATAATTTTGAATATTTTAAGATCTGAAGACTTAGGAACTTGAGATATGATCTAAATCCCATCGTTCAAATTGAAAATGTCAGATTTATGAAGATACTTTGACATAAAATAGCATTCTTACTTCCTTCAAAATTTATTTCTTCACTTTCTGATGTCTCTCGAGAGCTACAAATGCTATCATAGCTACCACTTTTAGAATCCACTTCTGCCCAACGCTCAATGCAACACATCGCCGTTCTGATTGCTAAACGACGTGATGCTTTTGGCTCCTCGCCTTGAATTTTCTGAAAGAATTTGTACAATTAACTCCCATTCATCGGAAATACTAAATGTCCTAATACTATTGAAACTGTATATTTCACCACATTTCATATTCTAGAGTGACATATCTAATCAGTTCAACAGACTTCATGAACCGCTTTCTGATTGGAATTAAGTACGAAAAAATGACATTTTTTCTTCATTTTCTTTTAAAAAATACTCCCTTCATCACTACTGCTTCTGTGACATTTAAATAAAGCAATAATTTCTGCAAAACCTATTGAGTAAAACTCATTTTACCTGTAAAATCTTTAAAATTCCTTTCTCGAAACGAATGAATGAGCTTTCTGCTTTTTCAGGCTTTGTAAGATAGATTCGCAGACCTGTATAATGAGCTTTGAGAAGTTTTAGCCAAAAAATATGATTATTGGAGGTAATCAACGAGGCATTCGTTGGCTTGTCTTTTTCTTGTTCGACCTCCTCAATCAGAACCTAAAAAACCAACAGATAATCTTAAAACTACATATAGATTATTTTCATAAAGAATGCTTTTAAATTTTCTCAGTCAACTGAAATGCTTGAAATAGAGATAACCTTTCTGTAATTTAGCTCTGGTAAATATGAATCACAATCATCCTCTATTTGCCGCACAAGAAATTCAGCCTGAAATCTTGAGCAGTGTTACAAATATGAAACAGAAACTTCAGTTTTACTTATTCTATAAATAGGAAAACAGAATAAGAAATCGAACTAAAAAAAGAAGCATAAATAAACAATCTTAGAAAATAAAATTCTAACATATCTCATGTGATCTCAGGCAGCTAGCAAAAAAATCAACAACAGCTGTAACAGTATGCATTAGGATTACCAAGATAACTATGACTAAATTACATTATAATTGATGAAAAAATTAGCTGTAGAACAACAAAGAGGTTCACAACAATAAGAAACGAAAAATCACTACAAAACAACAAAAGTTGACAACCTTTTCGTCGACTGTTTCGAATGATGGGTCTTCGAGAATTCGGTGCAAAATATCAAATATCCCCTGACCAGCATTGTCATATTCCACTGAAATCCCATGCATTTGATTTTCTGTGTAGCTCGCATACAGTAGGGTCCATAAATTGAATAACTAAACGATTATTAAGTCACAGTAGCACTTGTATGAATGGAATACTGACAAATATTAATTGCATATACATTTAACTGCTCCCTTCGGAGATTATGAGACCGGTTAACATGAACCCATATCAAACCGCAATCCGAAAAAAAAACATTTACTCTTGGCTTCTCTCCATCATTATCTTTTCTTCAGAATAAAGAAGTGTTTATCCAGAGTTTTTGAATCTAATGTAATTCCCACAATGTCATTAAGATAATCAGACTTTGATTCCACTTAGTAAGCTTACTGGTGATGCTAAAAGTTTAAAAATGGTCCATACTGCTAATAATCAAACAATTCCCTTCAGTGCACAGTTTATAATTATGGAGTAAATTGAATTACCTAACGCTAACATCACTCGCCCCTTGAACTTTTGAAAGATGATATATGAAAATATATTTCAAAAGAAAAGGAGTGAAAGAAAGAAATCCAACAAATTAGTAAGTAAAATTTAGATCTTTTACCGCTTTGAATCTGCGGAAGAGTGGCAAATGCATTCCTCGTGGAAGAGCTTTGGTATAAAATGACAAAATCCTGAGTGACCTATCTAACATTGGGTCAAAAAAATCGGTCTTCCTCGGTGGGTATTTTGAAAAGCAATCAACTTTGAGATTCTGAAATAAAACTTCATTCACTTATTTGTATTCATTAGTTATCATCATGATTTTCTTAAATGATGAAGTTTTAGGCACTCAATTACAATACTTGATGTGCTTATGACAATAGATGCTTGAGCATACTTAAAAATTAAAATTATATATGCCGCAAATATGCTTTTTTAAACTCAATTTTAAAAACTGTCAATCTATTAACTGGCAATATTCTTTTCCGCAAAATTAAAAATAAAAACTCCAATTTTGCATTCACCATAAATAACAAGAAACAAACCTCCCACGGTAACAGCAATGTATCGAAAATCATTTCAACTAACTCTTTCGGCAACATATCTAATACAACGGTGAAGCAAACGGCAGCATCTCCAGCATTTGGATGGTTCTAAAATCGAAATTAGTGCTTAGTTTCTCACCTCCGATCTTATTTTATCTTAATTCTCTTGTTCTTATCTTTCTCATTCAGTAGAACCTGAATCAAAAAGAGACTATGTAACATGCTTTATATTCTTGGCCCATATATACATATATTATCTCCAAGACTTTTCGACATAAGCTGAAGCGTGCACCTCAAAAAAGATACCACTATATTCCGATGAAAACGTGAATAGGATATGTTAAAGAAGCCAAATTACTTTAACTAATTCTATTCTTATATGAACGTATTGTGTTGAAATAATGACTATAACTGGGTAAAAATTGTTACGCCTTTTTGTTTAAACAATTAGGAACATGTTCTACAGCAAGTCAAACTAATAAAAATTTTAAAAAATAGCAGAATTATAAATAACTACTCACCTCTATGATGACCAAAAAATTCTCAATTAAAGAAATATAATATTTTTCTTTTGACGCTTTATAAGGAACTGTTACCAATATTCGAGACAATGATTGCACAAATCCGAAATCTCCAAAACAATTTGCACCTGTAAAAAATTTTACCATTCTAGAACTAATCTTGAAATCAATAAAATGCATTGATTTGGAAGTAAAAAACACAAAACCTTCGGTTATTGCTGTTATTAAATGATACAATCCATTCTCCAACAACAAAAGTTTGGTGATATGCTTGCTTATTGCTTTCTGAAAGTCAAAAACGTATAGAAATGCAAATACAGTAAAAATTATAATTAAAATCAAGATTTGTGCTGTTAATATAAAGACCAAAGTTATCATTGAATTATTATTCTCCAACAGAATTTGTGTTTGCTTCATCTTATATAGCTATCATAAATTTATCACTCACATGCAACCATTTCGGTTGTTCCTTATTCGCAGTTAATAAAATAAACAGCGAAGTGATCAACATGGGCCTGAAAATGAATAACCTGTAATAGCCTCTGAATCTAACTGAAACAAGACGAATGAAACCAATTTAATTACTTAAAAACTATATAGTAAATCACAAGTTGGTATGATAGAACATTTCCTTTAGGTTAGCACCCAGTCAGATGGATATAGATTAATTAACGAAAAATGAAAATAATACCTGTCAATGCTTAAAATAAATTTTCCATACTTTTGCTTGTGATCTTTTTCACCCAGTTCAATCAACTGCAAAAAAATGCAGCATTATGATGAGTTTTCATAAACTTTTGAAAGCAAAAGAAACGGTAAATTATTTGTATTTTCATTCTTTCTTGAATAGCAACGAGAATTACTTATATAAAAGATGAGTATTTCAAAGCTATATAGGCAAACCTGTTCATTTAAGCATATATAATCTGCCAGAAATTTCCTCACCACACAATTCTTTACCATTTCGCATGAATTCATCAACATATCAAAAACTTCTAATGTTTTCTTCAACTAAAAAATATCATTAATTATTATCACAAGATGTGGGTGGCATATGATTAGTAAATGATGATCACGTGAATGTATGCATCACTCAACAATTCATCCAGTCTAGCTATGCTGCAGTAATCCAATTGGTGATGCAATCAAAAAATCCCAGGAATATGGACAACACAAAACCGTCTATGAAAAAACTTTAGTTCGCAAACAAAGAAGGCTAACTAATAGCAAATTCTACAAAAAGCTGATCATAGTAAATCAAGCTATCTCATATTTTCGTTAGTGAGATAGATCTGAATTATATTAGTTACAGATGTGAAAAAACCATATTTACCGTGGGTTCAGGATATTAAGTGTATCATATTCACATATAGATTTAATCTCCATAAGTTTAAGTCTAATCATCAAACTACACATCATGAATTTAGACATCTCCTTATTGCATAATAATAAGATTCATCGGCTAAAGAACATCTTCTATCTATAAACAAAAATGACCTGCTTCTTCCGAAATTCAATATCGCCAACAATCGGTTTCCAATGCTCCACGAGACTACTCCTACCCAAATGTAGAATCACACCTAAATAAAGTTGGAGTGGTAATTGATTCAGATCAAAAAAAAACTGCTTGAAATTTTTGTTTCACGGATAATCACTGTGGTAAGAGAAGTAAATGACAACTAACAGATGATTCTGAAACAACAAAAAAAGAAAATTACGAGCAGAAAAATCATTTACCATCATCAACATAAGGTCGAACTGCTGTTGGAATAATAAATTCAAATGCTGTTTCTATTATTGACAACTGGTTAATTGACAATAGAATGGATGGATTACTTGCCGTTATACGCATTTCTTCCAAAATTTCTGCTACCTATAAGCAATATCCTAGACAGCAGAAAATATGCAAATATATATAAACCATAAATCCACACAATGAAGTTGCTAATTAATATAAGAACGATAAAAGAAAATCACGAAAAAAAGTCGTCTGCAACATGAATACCTTTTTCAGCAAATATAACATGCGGTGGGAATAATAAATTCGATAATCAATTTCAGATTCTGCGATATCCGCAGTGGGTGATGGTGGCGGTGGTGATAACGTTGAAGACATCGAATAATTTTGATCATCAAACGGAGTGGTTTTGTTAACATTCAAATCACATGGAATATATTCCGAATATGGTAACGGATACTCCTCATCCAACTGTGGATCTACCAATCCTTTGCCTCGCATCAAACGTTCCAAATGTATCGTTTGATGTTTTAACGGATCAAATGGTAGTCGTCTCACTTTCGGTAAACTCACAGCTGAAAATTTTAAAAATGTGCATAAGAATATTTCCAGTAATTATTGTCTTCCAATTTAAATTAATTATGCAAAACAGTTTTTTGACTTTTACATAATAAAAATTAGAAAACATCAAACATGAGTTAATATGCCTGCCTATGACTTATCGAGGTAGAACTTCATAATCAGCTCATCTCCCTTTTTTTTAATGCATTATGTCTTAATTTCGGGACAACTTTCTATTCGTATTACGTAGTGAATTATGTGCATCCATGTATTGACATCATAATCTCCCTATATTAAATTCAAATTATATGCTTATGCTATTTTCTATCCGCTACTACTTCTGACTAAATCTGATACGTAATTTCAAAGCACTATTTTCAATTTAAAGCATTGGTTTTCTATGAATGGTATATGAACTGCATAGTATATTATAATTTCAGAAATTCCAGAGGTATTTCCCAATTTTAACCACAAATTTGCTGATTGCAAAATTTGTCTTTCTTCACAATCAACTGAAATTCATCTTTTTTACCCAGTTCTTTTTACAGCATATCGATATAACGTGATTTTAATCATTGTATAATTATACACAATCTATAACTCTGAATAGTGAATAAAAACGTGCTTCATGTGACAAAGTACCGAAATGATAAGGCATAAAACGGTGAACTCAATTTCAGTCACGTTTGAAACTTACGTGTGCATCCCATTTGTATCAAATAGAGATAATCGTGAATAGTTACTTCAGCCATCTTAGCAGAAACAGGAAACAAACAATAAGAAATCTGGAAATATAAAAATGAGAAAAATTTCTGGAAGAAGATTGAAATTTTAGTACCGTTCATTTGTAGGAAATCACTATGACAACCTGCTTTGCCAGAGGAGCAATGAGTTCCAAGATGACAGCAAGATTACACCGATTAATGTCGAGTATTAGCTTTAAAATTATGCATCCATGATAGCGATCCTCGAGTCGTTCCACTCGATCGATCCATTGATGACCATGCTAACAATGACAAGTCCAATTACCTGAACCCTCGATGGCTAAGGCATATAGCGCCCTATCCACCGATTTAGAACTTCTGTTCTACCAGCGTTCAAACGCTTCCACCTGCACCACAAAGAAACGTTTAGATTTTTTAGGAGATATGGATTTCGATGTCCTGAACGATAACCAATTGATTCCTGAAAATATTTGAATTCGGAGCAATTAAATGCTGATAACTAAATACAATTGCTGAAACTCTGTTCCATCTTCCTAACCTCTTTGCGTTACTGCTTCATGATTGGGAATATTTCAATACAAGTTTAATTGAAAATTCCAATAGAACGATAACAATGTGGTATGTATCACAACAAAAATTGAAGAGCGAGTTTTTTATAAAATAATTTATCCTTCAACAACACCAACAATAAAACAATCGTTATTACTTATACTTTATTAAAAGCTACAATATCAACCGATTGCACTAAATCATCGAAACCCACAATTTGCTCCTCTAACCAATCCGAAGATACTTTCTCGTCTTCCACCACACAACAGATCTAAAAAAAGCAAGTTCTATCAAGCGTTATTTAAATTCCAAATTACAAGACGTCTTAACTTTCCACCAAAAATCAAATCTTTTGAAAATATTTTTTAACATTCGAATTAGAACAATATCGAACCATTTTATCTCTTAGTATTCTATTAAATTTTGTTTCACAACTTTTTCTACTTATCCTTCTCTGTATTTTCAGCTGACCAGGACTAGCCTAATCAAAAAAATAATATATAATGGAAAATCAAGATTTTTCGTTATATATTATTTTCTTTTGATTCGGTTCTATAATAAATCCTCCACAATACTTTAAACTTATAGTCACTCTCTTATCTGGAGCTCTTTTACAAACGCTGTAAAGCAAATCCATACTTGAAGTTTTTTGATGCCATAAGCCACAGGCAAAACTTTTGCCGCTCCCCAAACAAGTCCATCTAATTCGATCGTTCTAATATTCTTCTCGATATCGGCCATTTCAATCGAATCATCCCATGGCTTCACATCAAAAATAATGTTCGACTTGGCAATCGCAGCTGGCTTTTTTGCCTTTTTTTCCTCATATGCCTTCAAAAATAATCTCTTGACTTCATCGGATGTGAAGTTGTTACCAATGAATTGTTAACAACTTGATAAAACAATTCGCAATTTTTTTTCAATTTGCTCGATGAATGGTCTGCAGATATATCTTTTATGCGAGTTGTGCAGGCAAAATTGAAGTAAAATAAAATCTTCCGTAAAATTTAAAGATCATCCATCCGTAAAATTTAAACATCATTTGTAAAATTTAAAAATTTAAAGATCGTAAAATTTAAAGATCATTCACTATTCATAACAGCAGTATCTTTGATATCTTTTCCAGTTATGCTTAATTCGGAATGATCATAGTTTTCATCGGATAAGTGTGTTACACCATAAACCTAATCTTTAGCATCTAATTGAAACTAAATATATCAAAATTTCTTGAAAGGCTGGGAGATAAATATGTTCATTTCAAATTTTCTAAATTTTGAAACAGACATACTTATCTCACTAACGTTACAGGAGCTTCTGTTACATATGTTGCAATTACGGAAAGGCCCTTGATCGGTCCCCAAAAAGGGGAAACCCGTCTTTTTTGAAAATATTTCCTCATCTAGAATGGATAAAGCAGATATTCGGTAGTGAGTTAGCGTTAAAATGAAACAATGTCCATATTACGTTTGAATACAAGTGAAAGTGATAATACATCTTACGGTATGTTCCTGACCTATTATCTACGCTTGTAAGATAATGATGGTCAGTATATGTAAGCGTTTTTCTTTCAAACTACAACACTTAACTCCACTTTTTATAATGAAAAGCTCTATCAGATATTTAAAATTTATTCCTAAATTGAAATAAATACGATTCTTTCTCGCCTTTTTTCCTCCGTAATATTATGTAATAATTCCCTTCAGAAATATCTCCACTGAAAAATGATTGAAAAATTGACCTTCTCTTCCTTACCATCTGTTTCGCAGCATAACATCTTACATAAATCACTGTATAAATTTAAGAACTTTGTACTTTTCGACGTGATATTGAAAAGTACAGAGTTCTTAAATTTACACTTTCTTCTCTGCTAAGCATGTAAGACCAAAAGTTAGACTAAAACTGAGATGATGAACACAAGACTTTGGTAATCGTTCCATAAGGCTATTTGAAATATACAAAAAAATTAAACCTTCAGTCGTGCAGCGGTTATGCGTGCTTTTTCTTCATCATCATCATCATCATCTGAACCGAATAAATCAAGGTCTTCTTCAGGCTCTTCCTTCTTGGGTACTCCGTTAGTAGAAGTCATCGGAGTGGGCCATCTAAAAAAATTAATTTTCCAAAATTTCATTCGTCCCTCTTTTTACAGAAATCAAGCATGATTGATGATTTGAGACTAGAAAAATCATAATAAGTATCTCACTATCACAGTAAATAATGACAAATGTACTCTACGAACTTTATCCAATTCAGTAGAGAGAAGAAGGAAAAAAGATTGACAAGTAAAAACTATATTACCCATTCTGACTGAATTCTAAGTATAAAAATTCTTGGAGTGTGTACGCAAGATTCAGGATAGCTACCATATCTTATTAATGGCAGCAACTTTATAAATATACCAGTCACCAAGTAAGTGTAAAATAAAAGAACGCAAAATTTGTTACGATTTTCGCTCCTCATCGCTGAAACTTCCTATATTCCGGTACCATCGCAAAACATTAGCATATTTCATAGCTGGTTCTGAGTTGAGCAACCTGAACAGCTGCAGATCATCGCCAGATGGTGTATATCTGAAAGACAAGTTCCTGCATTATTCCTGACTATCACGAACAAAAAACAAAATGAAATGGTTAATTATAATGTTCACATAACACTACCATGTCCTTAAGAATATGATTTCGAACTGCCTCCAAACACTATTCAGCTTCTATTCTTTTCCCTACCCTCTTCATCATCATTTTAATGTCAACGAAATCTCGCAGTAAAACTGCAAAAAGATAATCAACTCAATAAAAAAATACAGATGTTGACAGTATCATCATAATAATCCCAAATAGGACTCACAATGTTACTTATAATTTGCCTTTCTTACAAATTTCCGAAAATTTTAGCACCGTTCTACATCAATCTCTGCTCAGATTTATTTAATAGATTATTTAATAAATTACTTAATGATTAAAAAAATTACGCAAAATTAATCACAAAAATGATCCAAAGTATAAACAAGAAATAAAAAGAACAGATTAGTGAAACAAATGCTGAATTACCCGGATGCATATGAAAAATCCTTCAAATGTCCATCGAAGACTGCCAACCCATCATCTGTTTTCAAATCATACATTGCCCGTGAATATGATCAGAATTTATATGGAGATTTGGTTAAAACTTTAAAATTTGGAGTCTACTAAAAGTATATAAATATGATAGAATACAAAAATACAAAAAAGCATGAGAAAGGTCAAGAAAACAGGGAAAAGTTATTAAATTATTACCACTGCTTAGTAGAAAAATTAACTACAGAAGTTATTAGTCATTGGAACATTTCGTACTTAACCAATAATCTGAATGAAGTAAAAAAGCAAAAATTCGGTACGGAATATTTTTGCATTAGATTATACGTAAACAATATAAAAGATAGAACAGATCAACTAACGTTTTAGCAAACCAAACAAAAATTATTTTCAAATATAAAGCGGATAAAACTTTTGCAGTATTCCAAATTAAACAATGAAACAAACAGCTAGCTATTTAGTTCAGATTGCTGTAAAAGTTTCATTCCTTCATACCGAAAAAGAATCTTTTTAATTAGTTCCATTATTGAATTTCTTCGTTCCATAACAGTCCCAATTAACTACTCATGTAATATTAGTAAAAATAATGATGATCATGCATATTTTTTTGAATGTTGTCGAACAAAATTCCATCAAAAGATCTTTCGATACAAAAAAATTCCCTACGTGATCTTATTAAGGACCTTAAAATTAAAGCTCAGACTAACACGAAAACAAAAACCACCCTTTCCCCATTCGTTCCACCCGATCCCAGCTAACCTTAATACACCTACCGCGAAGCACCGTCCGCATTTGCACCACGAATTTTCTATCGTAATCATATGGGTAAAATCCTTCTCGCAATCTCAAATTTCTGTTGCAGCACAAAGATTTGGTTCTTAATTTTGAGATATAACTTTCTAAAATTTTGCTGAAATCACATCATTTCAAAATGTTATTGATTGATTTACTGCTTTTTATTTACCCTACTATATAATATGATTGATAAAACGATCGGAAGCAAAAAAATCTAAGTATTAAAATTAAATCTGCTGAAACAAAAGCATCCTTTTCCAAATTGTTGGAGCCGATAACTGGATGGAATGGAGGAAGAAGTTGGATACTGGAAGCAAAATTTATACTTGCTTCAGGAGGCTGCACCACGACCTTTTCCTGTTATCTGTACAATATCACCGGAATCCCCACCATCTCAGGTATAATATTTACAATTTTTTCAATCAAATATTGTCATACTTAACCACTAACATAGCAGTTTAGCATGCAACATTGGCGATTAAATTATTTATGAATTAATATTTTATAACACATATTATACTATATTATAAAACTGGTCGGTGATATTAGAATCAGATTAAACTAACGCTGATGTGAGCATATTAACGTAAAACTGAATTAAAAGTATTATTCATAAATTGAACTAATATAACGCTGAAGTTAAATTAAATTGAACCGATGTCTTTTTGATTAAATTTAAGTGCAAATATTGGATTAAAATTAATGCTAGAATAAAATTGAATGAAAATTGATTTGTAATGTTGGGTTTGGATCAAAATCAAATCTTCTTTAATACTTAAATCTTGCAGGATATAGTTGAATGCTTTCTTCTTTGGTTTTATTTGTTGCAGTTGTTTTATTATATTTTTTGTTCCATTTTTGCACTGTTTTGTCATATATTTCTATTTCATTCTTTGCGAAGTTTAAAATTTTAAATAGTTCTGTGGCTGTGTTTGCATTAATTGTTTAGATAGATGATGTCATGATTTAGCACCATTTTCTTCCTTTAATCTTAGTATTGATATTTTAGTATGGTGCCGAGTTTCATGGTTTAATCGAACGAGAAATGGCCGATAATATGTTGTTGGAAGCTGGTGAAGGTGCTTTTTTAGTTCGTGCGTCCAGACGTTCACCAGGTGCTAATACGTTATGTATGTTTTTTGATGGACGAGTACTAAATTATAAACTATTCTATGATGGTATGCATTATGTTGGCGAAAAAAGGTAAATAATTGATATTTGATGTTCATGTTATTCAAAATTGTGACACATTATTGATATCAGTAGTTTTTTACATCATATGATTAGCCACTCTTCAAACTTTGGTCTTATATATGTTGCATTGGTCTTTTGTAGGCACAAGAAATTAAGAATCAATCTATGAACATGATAAAAAAATGGTCTTTATCTATGATCAACCATGATAGCAATACTTTGTCTCAATAAGTTTTATTTGTATTTTGTCGAAGGATAATATGAGCGAAGTTTAGATTTGAACATTTGGAGGATTTAGTCGCAGATGGATTGATAACGATGCATATGGAGAAACATGCGAATGATTATATACAACGTATGGCTGATGAAGCGATTTATGAACAAAGCCCTTATTCGCAGTATCAAAAAGCAACCGATTGTCGGCGGCAGCCCTGTGCTCGATGTCATAATTTCACACCGGCTACATTCCGGATACCACATTATTGTGATTATTGTCGCAATTTTATGTGGGGACTTGTTCAACAGGTTCCTTCTTTCTTCCTACTGTTTTTTGTGAATTGTTAAATTTTTGATCACTTTTATTTGTCTTCAGTAATAAAATCATGCGGTTACGTTGTAAAGTTTCATCTTTTCTCAGTGAAAGCCATGTAGATAAAATAACACAATAATGTGTTTTTCCATTTCCCGGGGTGCTCATGGACCGCATTTCCGAAACATTTCTGATTATTATATTTACAATTTTACGGGGAAAAACAAAAATTGAAGTGAAATAAGTATTATCACAAACGTATTGACAATTTCAGGGTGTTAAGTGCGAAGACTGCGGTTTTTGTGCGCATAAAAAATGCAGTGAGCGTACTATACATGATTGCCGACCAGAAGCGAAATATGTAAAGCGTATGTTTGCTGTAGATATCAGTACGTTATGTATGGCACATGCTGTAAGCATTCCACCTGTTGTTTCTGCTTGCATTACCGAGGTTGAACGTCGTGGTTTGCGTGCGGAAGGAATTTATAGGGTTTGTTTAATATTTTTTTAAAGTAATTTAATGGTAGTAAATTAAAATACATAAGATGAGGAGGAAGAGGGTAGGTAAACTTCTGTTTATGTGTTTATATGTATGGAATGATTTTTACTTTGTTTTCAAACGAAGATAAATATCGCAATTATTGAGGATCACCATATATCATCATATATTGGAGATACCTAGGATTACCTTATATAGTTATATAGAAAATCGATCAAATTGTAATCTTGTTTCAGGTATCTGGTTCTCACGAACAAATGGAACGATTACGTCGACAATTCGATACCCTTCATAAAGTTGATCTCTCGATTGTCGAAGATATTCATACCGTAGCTGGCCTTCTAAAACTATACCTCAGGCTTTTGCCACAGCAACTTGTTCCATTTTCTGTATATCGATCCTTACTTACTGCTTATACCAATAATCGAGCTTTTCACGAACGATCAAAAATGTGCAGGTATACTGATCTTGTGACACCGTTATGCAATCCACTTAAATCCTTAGATTTGAATTCGTAGCAGAAGAGTCATAGCTTATTAAAAGACAATGCAAAAGCTATTAGAAATTTAGATATTATGATTATTGAGTAATTATAGATAAAATCTCGCACTGGAGGATGGGCTTACATGTGATAGGTTAAAGAGTCAAAACTTATTTTCAGGAAAGCTTTGAGAGAATTAAATGAAGCAAATGGCCGGACATTGCTGGCAATATTAATGCATATGCAAAGAGTAGCTGACAATAGTGCCGAGAATAAAATGAGTATCGAAAATCTGGCAACTATATTTTCACCTACATTATTCTGTACCGGTACAGTTCCAGCATTACCTCAACAACAACACCAGCTTCTTCATTTTCTTATCCAGAATCCCAGAATTGTCCCATTTTCTTAAATTAACAAACGAATCGCTTTCTGGATTCAGTGCATTAATTGCTCTGCTGTTTTAACTCTTGCACACGCTAGCATTAACGGTGATGATCGAATGCTTATGGGTTTTTCTTTTAGTATGAAATTTCGTAAGACTTGACTTTGGCATAGTCTCGTCAGTTTTTGTATGTATCGTATTATCATTTGTTTGTTATTCGTATGAAGCACGAATTGATGTGATAATTGCTCAGGTATACTTCTATTTAAAGAACAGTCAAATGTATTTTAGAGCAAAGCATTTGGACTGGCCTAACAAGTAAGAACTTCACTATAACATATGTATGGTCGCATGGGTTTGTTTCGGAATTGTCATCCCTTAATTTTTTCTGCACAACTGTGATTTTTTAATGTTCTAGGAAGTAATCACTTGATTATCAACATGTGATAGAGGGTTTATCAGGAACGTTACTATTTGCAGGACAGGATTAGTTTCCCTTCTTCCTAACTATCAGCGTATGGGAAGAACTCTTACCACTTGTTATTCTCGCTGTGAATTGCTAGCTGCTCAAGAAAATCATTTTTCAGTCGGTGGGAAATAGTAATAAAAGTTATTTTCCAATTTATTTACATTTCTCCTCATATAGAGCAGGCAAGTTAGCTTTCAATCATTGCTCATTTTCTATATTAGAATACTGTCTAGTCACTTCTTGTTTATATCTTTAGAAATGTAGGAAAAAGGTTTCCACTGATAGCTCATATTTTAGAAATTTGAAGAGTAGAACTAGAAGTAAAAGAGTAGCTGAAAACTTTCATCGGTAAGATAAGGCAATCGAAGTTTTCGTACAGAAAATACTTCATAAATTCAAAAATTATATGAATTAGTGATCATTCAATGCTATCATATTATAATGGTGTAAATTAGCTTATACTTTCTGCAAATACATAGAATTGCATTCCTCATTATCTCTTCTCTTCCTGCCACATCCTAACCTTATGGCTACTTTTTTTAGTTTCCACTTTGCATTATTTCTTTGCTTCCAATGCATTCATTATCTGTTTGCATGGCATGAAAAGTGATGAGTAATTTATAAAGGATGTTTTCTTCATTTAATTACTCTTATATATATATATGGAAAGAGAGAGTTTCATTGATATTTTAAAATGT